GGTGGGGGGGGAGGAAGAGGGCTGCCCGTGGGGGTCCGGAGGCGGGAGGAAGGCTCTGCAGCGCGGCGCTGTCTCGGAGTGCTGGCTCTGCTCGGAGGTGTGATTGCCCTATGCAGGAGGAGCAAGACCCCCCCACACACACACCCCCCGAACCCACAGCCTGTGCTCACCCTCCCTGGCGATGTGCTGCTATCGGACCCCCAGTTTGCAGCCCGCTCCCCAAAACTGGGCAGAGCGCTCAGCTGTGCAGCCGGCAGGCCAGAGACCCGCGTTTCCTGAATGGGGCTGAAAACGCCTGGTTAAAGGGGGGAAAAATAATATTGCTACCATTTACTTCTCTAAATTACAAATGAATGCGGCTCTGCGGGGGAAATCTCATGGGCCTCTTCATCAGATGGTCAGAGCGAAGAGTCTCAATAGAGAAAGAAAAAACAAGAGTCTGCAAAGGACAAAATGATGTTGGGATGGAGCCTGCTCTCCACCCCAGCTGCTGTTGCAAGAAGCTGCCTGCTTCTGTCAAAAGAAATAACGAACAAGATGCTTTTTAAAGTTGTTTGGTTTTTTTCCCCCCCCCCTGCTATTATAGTTCTGTTTCTGCAATTCCCTTTCTGAGCAGGGTAGATAGATAAATGCTGCTTTGGAGCCTGTTCCTGAGCAGCCCTGAAGGCAGCCGAGCTGTGGATGACACTTGGCGGTTGTCTTGACCCTGCGTGTCGGTGTCCCCGGCGCTGTGACAGTCTGTGCAGGGACAGGCAGTCGCTGCTGGAAGGAGAATGAGGGTGTTTGCTGCTCTGCGAGGAGAAACCTCAATATATTTATGGTTGCATTGAAAGAAGGAAGTTAAATATGATCAGTGTTTTGATAACTGGTTGAGAGATAAGAGCAGAGAGGGCTGAAATTCAGAGCTCCTGGAATCTGTTCGTGGCTGTGGTACAAGTGTGGCTGAGGGAGGAGGAGGCTCTGCCATTGAGTCTTCTTACATCTCTGGGCCACCCAAGGTGGAATTGCCAGAAGTGACTGTGGATCCTGCCCTGTTGGGTCTCCAGCTAGAGATCTGCTGGAGTTGCTCATTTTTCCCAGAGGTCCCCAGTCCCCCCAGAGCAGAAAATGGCAGCTTTGCTGTACAGCTGGCTGGAGACATCCCCAACAGGCAGCCTTAAAAACGGGGCCAAATAAAGCAATATTGGTTTGAACTTCTCTGTAGCTAGAAAGAGTGCACAGATAAGTCCTGCAGCTTTCCACAGGAAGATGAGCTCTTAAGACATTGGTCAAACTCGTCGTTGGTGTAATCCCACCGAAGTCACAGGTTTAAGGTCCATAGCTAATTTACTCCTTAGCACCGAAGTGCTTTCAAAGCCCTGCAGATAGGTGTGAAACACCGTCATCACCAGAAGCTTTGAAGCTGTGGTGAAGGCAGGATCTGGGGAGTCCTGTGCTGATTAAAACTTCCTTTTATTTTTTTTTATTTTTATAATTGGGTTTTTGTCAGGTGTGCGAGGAGCAGAAGTGCGAAGAAGAGGTCTTCCCCTTGGCCATGAATTACGTGGATCGCTACCTGTCATCAGTCCCCATGCGGAAAAATCACTTGCAGCTTCTGGGAGCAGTCTGCATGCTCCTGGCTTCCAAGCTGCGAGAAACCATGCCCCTGACCGTGGAGAAACTCTGCATTTACACAGACAACTCCATCACGCCTCAGCAGCTCCTGGTAACCACCCCTATCTCAAAGAGCTCTCTACCTCCTCCCCAGCTCTCTTATCTCCTGCATCCTGCTACTTGGCAGCGTACCTGCCCCCGTGTCTCCTGTTCTCTTTCTCCCATTTCTTCACCTTCCTCTGTGTTACCCAACCAACCTTCTCTCCTCCTCGCCCCGGCGGGTGTGATGCCTGTTAGCGGAGACCTTTCCATCCTCCCTGTTGTGGGAAGCAGAATTGTCACCTCCAGGTTATAGAAAAAGTTCCTTGTGCCTTAAGTGCTCGTTGCCAGTGCTGAGCTGCCACGCTGGGCTCGCTCTCAGGCACTGGTTTGCTCTCGAGTGACAGCTCTGGAGAACAAAGGCTCCTGCCTGCGCAGCCGGCGGAGCATGACATGGGGGCTGACGCTGCGGTGGGCAGCTCTGACTTGCCCCGGCTCCAAAGGGGGCATGATGTGGGAGATGCATTTTCCACACCAGCAGGAAAAATGAAGCTTTAAGTAAAGAGTTAACCAGCAAAATGGGGGGGAGTCTTTCTAACCGGGGATCCAGCGGGCTGGGTTGTACCTTCGAGGGTGATGGAGATGACGGGACCTCGCTGCTGCCCAGGTCCCGCTCCGCACCCTTGCCTTAGAGCAGGGCCACTTGGCTTCTGCCGTCCGACGCTCTGGCAGCAGCTGTGTAGGCTTTGAAAGGCGAAGTGTTTTCGCGTCTGATAAAAGTTCAAAGCAAAGATCCAAACCTCTGAGTTCAACTTTGCTTTGTGGGGGAGGACATTGGAGAACCCCTTTTCTTGGGGGCCTTCCGTGCTGGTAGATCAGAGCCCTTGGGAGGAAACGGCCACCTCTCTTCGAGTAACAAACATCCCTGGAGACGGTTTGTCTACGAGAATTTCTCAGGGTTAGTCATAGCCTTATTAAATACCTTTTTTTTTTTTTTGGGCTAGAGTGGGTGAGATGATCTGAGTGTGATTTGTCCCCAGGGTGGGGAGTGAACCCACAAAACTTTCAGGTGTGAATCGGAAGGCAGTTCTGGTAACTGGGGAACTCTGCTATGAACATGGTTTTTCCAAGTGCCAGTGAAGGCTGAGGAAAATCCCCTCACCTCCATACCTCTCTCCCTGTACTCGTTTGTGGGTGTTTGTTGACTTAAGTAACATGGAAAAAAGTATGTGGATCATCACCATGAGTAGTGGTGAAGGAAGAGGACGCTGAGAGGAGGCGCAGGTGCTCGTCGCTTCTCTGGATGCTGAGCTGAGCTGTGCTGGGTGGGGAGCTGACACAAAATCTGTGCGTGGCTTTCTCCAGTGTTGTCAGTAAAGCTTCATCGTTGGGAGACCTTGTCATCCAGTGCAGGTGTCTTCCCAGGACTGGGATCCATCACATGAAGCTAATCCCAGCCTGTAACAGGAGGGTTTCTCTTGGCCCTGTGATAATGAGGGAGTTAAGATTTAGCTGGGAAAAATAAATCAGGGGGGAATGGGGGTTGGTTTGTATTAGCTTTTCTTGCTGGGCCAACAAAAGTTGCCTGTTTGTTACAGGCTGAGCAGGAGGCTCCCAACAGTCATCTTGTAGGCAAGCAGGCTGTGTTTCAGAGCATGGAGAGGGCTCTCTGTGCCCGCGGGAGCACGAAGCTGATCAAAGTGCATGCTGTGGGACAGTGCCAGATTTGTGTCTCCTCAGTGAGGGATAAGCTCCCTGTCCAACAGGAATAGGGGTTGCAGGAGGGTGAACTTACTGCCATGCTTCACCTCTGTCTCCCCCTCTGATCCAGACCTTACAGGGAGTCCTGTCATCATCCCTGCAGACTAGGGGAGACCGTCACAGCAAATCCTAGTGGTTTCTGGGCTACAAAGAATCGGGTCTGGGTGGGCACCTTGCGCATACCTCCGTGGATCCCAATTGTATTTCATTCTGATTTAGTTGGTGGTTTATTCTTGCTGAGGATTTGTTTTTTTCAGCTGACTCGAGCTGTGTTCGTAGCAGGCTCCTTCCAAAGGAGAACAGTTAGATGTGCAGGTGGGTAGTGGGCAGAGCACGTGCACCATTCCTGGAGGCTTTCCTTCATTCTCCAACTCAAATGCTAATGCCTCCTCACTCGGAGTCTTTTTATTTCTTCCCACCCCGAGGTTTGTCAGCAGGAAGCTGTGCCTAAGCAGTGCCACAATGTTCATCTTCCCTTCTCCTCCCTCCTGGCAGCACTGGGCTGGAGATGGAGGAAAACGCTGTCTGCCGCCTGTTGCTCACTCCTGATTGTGCCAGGTCTCGGTACCAGAGTTCTCCTCTGTACTTTTTTTCCCCCCCAGGATCCTGGGTTGCTCTCGGTGCAGCAGGAGGCACAGCTGGATGCTTGACACAGATCTGTCATCGTTGTGCTCCGGAATCCATGTGAAGTTGAGGTGGACAAGAATGGCTTCATTTTGAGGGTCAAAAGTCCTTTCTTGGGATAGCCAAAGATAGCTTTTAGATAGCTAATAGGATCCCTTTTTTCTTACCCAAGGGGATGGCTGTGAGCACTCAGCAGTGCAGAGGTTTATTCCTGGTAATGGGTGTAGGTAGACAAAGGGCTGAGCAGAGGGTGTCCCAGGACAGCCACAGCCCTTCAGGAGAGGTGCTGAGGCATCTGCAAATGTCTGGGCAGGGGATGCTCTGTAGCCCGTGGTCTTTCCCTGCCCACCACAAGACTTGCTTTCGGAAGGTGTTTAACCACGTTTGGAGCAGATCCTCCTCCAGTCTCCCATTGCTCTCTACTGTAAAGGGAGAATGGAGAGAATGGCTGAAGATACATGAAGGATTTCTCTTTGGGACCTGACAAGAGTTAACACCCTGATTACAAAACCAGGGCGAGCTGCTGTTTTCCTCCTCTGTGCTAATCGTGGTGATGTTACTTCTCTTTCACAATCTCGCAGTGGAAGGGTGGGGAGGGGAAGGGGAGCTTCTTCATCAAGGTTTGGACAATGGTGCATCCTGGCCTCTTCTCATGGATCGGTGCCATTTCAGCTTCCAGCGCGTCCTCCCCAGCCTTCCAGAGGAAGCTGGCTGGCTTTCCCAATATGTTTGCTTCCTTCTTTTGCCGGGATGCTTGGCACCAGCTCAGCGGTTTAGAAAGGACATTTTTGAAACAAAATCTTGATAAAGTTATTCTAGGGAGAAGGAAATGATGCAACGAGGGACTTGTCCATTTGGAGGAAGTTGGATTTCCGTGAAGGGCGTTATCTAACCTACCTTTCTTTATTTTATTTTTTTTTAAATAAAGGCTTTTCTGGCCTATGCAAGAGAGTATTCAGCTGCATGAAGGTAGGGGGGAGCAGTTGTAGGCCACCTTCATCTGCCTGGTTTGCTCCTAATGCTTTGGCTTGCCTCTGAAATCTTTGACCTAAGGTCAGTTTTGCAAACTGTGAGGTATTTCCTAGCAAAGACAATAAGGAGGATCAAGCCACTAGGTAGATAATGAAGGGAGCAGCAGTGACAGCAGGCCACGAGGAGTGAAAATAAGAGAAAGGAGTAGAAAGGGTTGTTCACTTGTGATATAACATTGACTTTCCAGAAGACACACTTGTGTTTTACTGTTTTACCTTCTGCTTGCTGCACAGGTCAGGCAGATGTGACCGTTTCTGTGTCTCAAGTTGGCACCTTCACCTTTGACATCCAGACTCGAACTCTGGTCCGGGGATGGAAACAAACGTTTGCCCCAGATTTCCTATTTGCAAATGGACTTTCGTGGCTTCTCATTTCTGTAGCTGCTGGGTAGGGTGGGTGGCTAGCAGCAACAACAGCAGCTCTTTCCACCTTCTTTTTGAGTCAGCTCGCAAGCACGACAGAGCGCAGCCTGCGTCCGCTTCGCTGGTGTCTCATTGAGTCTGTGATAATGTAAAATGGTACCTTATCAACTGGATTGACAAAACCGAGCGCAACTTCCTTTTCTCCTGCAGACAGGGCTGCTGCAGAGAGGAGCTGGGTGCTATGCTCCCTGTGCAGCCTGGCCAGATAGGTTTACACAGACTCCTCGTAGGCACAGCGGGTGTGTGGGTGTTGCTGAGGGTAGAGCATGATGTAGAGCGTAGCACTGCATAAAAAGGAGAGAAGCTGGTGAGACTGTCACATCCCAGGCTGAGTTTGCAGAGCTGTAAATTGAGTAAAACTCTCTCTGCTTGTGACTTGGGTCTCTCTTAGCCAGAGGGTGCAGAGGCAGCAACCCAGGGGCTTGAGGCTGTTCCACTGTGACAAGACTGCTCTGCGATCACCTTGTCAGAGTGGGGAGGCGATGGGAAATGGTTGCTGCTTTCCTTCCTTCTTTTTTTTTTTTTTCTTGTGGGATGCAGCCAGGAGAGATCAAGGGAGCAAGCTTGCAGAGGGGAAGCTCAGTTGCTCTGCAGTTTCCACTCCTAGAGACGATGGCTGAGCTTTGCCCTGGGGGCTCTTGCAGAAGGAGGACCTGATGCATTCCCAGCGCTGGGCTGCTCAGTGGGCAGTGCTGGCAGCTTGCAGCCCTTCCACGAGGAGGTTGGGCTCCGCAGGCTGGAGAAACAAAGGAACTTTTTCCACTTTTCTTCCTCTCTTTCATTAGCCAGGCAGAGACTGATTCAATTAGGTGCAAAACAAAATGCCAGGAAAAGGATGTTTGCTATACAGAGTGGTGCTGCTGTCGCAAACCTGCTTGTCTATCTCTTGCAGCCTTTTGTTCTGCTTCTTCCACAGATAAAGTGATTCAGAGCTTCTGACATGCTGCTCCGAGAGCGGGAAGTCCCCAGGGTTAGCAGGAGAGAAGCGAGGAGCAGGGTGGTTTGGCAGGAGAGAGGCTTCCCTGAGCTAAATCCTGTGAGCTGGTGACAGTCCTTGGCGCCTGTCGCCTTCGGCTGGCATCGCGAGTGCCGGCTGGGTCTTGGGATCAGGCCTTTTGTAACAACGAGGTTTTTAAGATGACGATGAACCTGCGTACTAGCTGGAAAAGAGCTGCTTTTGTGCACTGCAAACAGACAGCTTGCTGGCCTGGATGGGTCCTGGTGTAGCAGGAGTTAAGTCGTCCCAGGTGAGGTCTCATGTCTGAGCTGGTCTGCACTCTGGACCTTCTCTGGAGGACAAAATGTGTCCCAGCAGGGACAGGCTCTCTGCCACACCAGTGTGGCCCTGATGTGCCTCTGGTGACTCCCAGTAACCATCTTGCAGCTCTGGGAGGAAAGACAAGGAGCAAGAGCCCGGATGATGCGAGGCTGGTGTCCCCTCTGTGCTCAGGAGCTCCCCTCTCCGGTGTAGTGATCCCTTTTGGGTTTGCTTCAGGATCTGCAATCCCCAGCTCCTCCTTTTGACCCTCTCCCTGGGTCTGCAGAAGGGCCACACTCCCAGCTTACGTGGAGAAGTCTGGCTGGAGCTGCCTTGGCCTCTCGCCCTCGGGGCAGTGGCTGCCAAAGGTGTCAGCAGTGTCCTGTGCCCCTTCCCGAGAAGCTGGGCTGAAGCAGGAGCAAGCACTCGGCGTTCCCAGCCCTTAGCGGGTCTCAGATGAGTGAGAAGTGGGGACAGTGCACAGACCTCTCCATCTCCAGCAGCTCCTTCTCAGTGTCACCTCACTGCGTTGCTGCAGCTTAACCAGGGGCCAGCACTACCTGTTTCTTCATCTTTTTACCCAAGGCTGATCCGTCCCCTCTGTTTCAATCCCCGTGTTGAACCCTCAGTGACCTGGGCTGTGATCTTCAGGCTCTGAAGCTCATTGCTAGGTTTCATCTTGCTTTTATCCTGTGGATTTGGCTTAAAAATACAGAAGGATTGGCAGGCTGGCCATCCATATGGGAGAGTAGCGAGCGTGCTGTAGCGAAGCACGGCTTTCTGCTTGGAAAAGCGCAGGCTGTGAAATGGCAAACGGCGCGTTTGGCCTCATGGGGGATTTGGAGCAGGTTGAGCAATGCTGCTCATTTGAGCAACTCAAAACTGGTATTGTTGTGTAAGGAGGAAGAGTGTTGGTTTGGGTTTTTTTTAAAAAAGAAAATTAAGATCTGTCCTTATGAAAAATCTCACTTCTTCAAATCCATCTGTTCTGGCAGCCCTTTGGCACGTCTGTGAGCAGCATTGACCTTGTAATCCTAGACTACTTGGAAAAAGAATAGATGCTCTGCTGGGCAGGACTAGGTCCTGAAATAGCGATATCTGATACAAATCCCCGTACAGCTCTGTCGTTCCAAACCTGAAGCTTCAGCTCGTGCAGGGTGTTTTCCTTTCCCAGCACATCTGCGGGGCCACTGTCACCCCCTCCTAGCAGGCGGGAGGGACACGGGGGCATCTTCAGTGGCATCACATTTGCTGCTGCTGCAGAGGATGAGAGAAACTGGGGACCAGAGATCTGGGACGTGGGGGAATTGGGACTGGCAGAGAGGCTCGGGCCGCTGGGTGTGCGCTGCCCCTGCCATTGCTGCTGGGATGGGAAGGGGAATGATGCTGGGAAGACACTGCTCTCGCCTCTCCTGAGACTGCTCTGCCAGTGGCACAGTCGCACCCAGATGTAACATCAAAGCTGTTCAGCCCACTGAGACCAGTATGTGTGTGGCCTCTGAGTCTGATCCAGCTGCTCCTCCAGCTAAGTCACGTAGACCTTTACACGGGTGGCAGAGCAGGGAGCTGAGTTCAGGGGTCCTAAATTCTGTGGCAAGGCTCTAATTGTGGGGCTGCCCTTGCTTCCACCTCGCTGGATGGGTGCTTTGGTACCACCACAGTGGTACCACCTGGTACTGCGAGGACTTGCTGCGTGCTGGCCCTGCCAAGTGCTTGGCGGTGGCTGCTCTGCACTTTGGTTTCCTTGTCGGTGTTAGAACTAATGCCCAGAGCTGGAAGAGCCTGTGAGAGGCTGAGCAGATGAGAGGAGCAGCCCAGGCTCCAGCGAAATCCGCAGGGGGCACCCGGCCTTCCCTCCATCTGTTCCCCAGCTTGCAGACTGCAAAGGGACTGGCTCGTGGAGGACAGGTCAGAAATCTCCGTTAGATGCTCCAAGAGAGCGCCACAATACAGGACAGAGACGCTGGCAGCCACCTGGCACGGAACGGGGAAGCACCAGTGCGTTGTTGCTGTGTGTCAGTGGGAGAGGTGGGTGTCAGCGGGGCTGTTTCGTGCCTCTTCCCCCTGAGGAGCTGCTGGGGGAGCTCTGCTGAGCGTGGCTGGAGGCTCTTTTGGCGCGGTGAGTAGGGGAGGTTCTGCCAAAAGGCACGTGCCCAGCCTGGGACCCGCTCCGCAGGGCCGCGCGCCTTGGGCTTCCTCAGCACCTAGTCACAGCCCTTGAGCTCTGTAGGGACTGAAGCTCTCCTGCAGGAGCTTGGGCTGTCTGGACGCAGCCTTGGAAGCTCAGCTCTTGTTTCCCCCACCCTCCCTTGTTCGGGGTGTCGTGCGGAGGGGCTGGCTGCAGAGCAGCTATTGCCTCCACGTGTCACCGGCCAAGGAGCCGGCTCCGAGGGGCACGTGGAGGGGGGGGCACCTCTGATCCCTTCTCTGGGGTGGTGTTAGCCCCAGGCTGAGTTGCTCCTGGGAGCCTGGACACCGGCTGCTCCTTTCAGGAGTGGAGAAGGAAGATGGGAAGGGTCTGCCTACTGCTCCTTGCTCTGGTGTTCCTCTGTGGGTTGTTGCAGCAACTTTGCAAAGCAGAGGAGTGTCTAAGGCTGATCCAGCTGCACCTTGGAAAGAAGAAACCAGATTTATCACTTCCTCTTCTGATCTTTACTCCCGACTTTGCAACAGCTCAAGGCTGGATTTCTGCCATAGTCGCAGAGCAGGGACATTCCCTCTTTTCTTCCCTGTCTCATGGATTGTGCTGATCTACTGTCCCTTCCCCAAGTGCAGGCCTCATCTGCCGTTGAATCTGCTGAGTGTTTCTGCCTGGCCTAGCCCCACTCGGTAACTGTCTGTCTGTCTGACTCTGCAGGACTGGGAGATTCTCGTCCTGGAGAAGCTAAAGTGGGACCTGGTCTCAGTGATAGCAAATGATTTCTTGGCTCACATCCTCCATCACCTCCCGCTGCCTAAGGACAAGATGGAGCTGGTGAAGAAGCATGCACAGACCTTTATCGCCCTGTGTGCCACAGGTGGGTGCCTGCTCCCACTTAAGCAGGACTTAAGTCAGGCTTGTTGGGCAATATGGGGCTCATCTCCACCACTCTGGCTTTCTGGGGAGCTGAATGCTGTCATTCAAATCTGAGCATTTTGCTGCTCAATTGTATGTTTCCTATCCCTGACAAAGTGGGATAATGGACCGGGGGGCTCTTGGTGGGTGCCTGAACGATGCCAGGGAAGAGCAAAGCCACTGAGGCACCCCTCTTGCTGCACAGGCTGCGGGGGGCGTCCAGGGTAAAGCCAGGGTCAAATCTGAGCTTTTATCAGTCGCGCTCTGAGTCACTAGAGCAACCTCGTCTTCAAGACTTTTGGTGAAACAGACCCAGAGGAGGAGCCTGATGAAGCTTGCTGCTCTCACGCTCAGCCTGTTCCCCATTGCCACCCTCTCCGTTAAGCTGGAGGGATCCCTCAGTCTGGCTCTCTCTAGTCTTCCAGGGAAATCCCAGTCTCGCGAACTTAGCATGCACATCCTTGCTAATGGCTCCTGCTTTTTGCCCCTTGTCTCCCCATCCTGGCTCTAGACTACACTTTCGCCATGTACCCCCCCTCCATGATCGCGACGGGCAGCATCGGAGCGGCGATCCACGGCCTGACAGTCTCCGTGAACGATTTCACCGGCGAGGCCATCACTGAGGTGCTGGCCAGCATCACCGGCACGGAGGTGGTGAGTGCTCACGGGCGAGAGCAAAGCGCCTTTGCTGCTGGATCCGATCTAAACCCTTCCTCTTCCTGCTACTTGTTCTTAGAGGGAGAGGATATCAGGCTGTTCGTAACGATGCTGACCTTGGCTTGAGCCGTGCCTAGAGATGAGTGAGCGTCTCTGAAGGCAGCACCTCGGTCAGTCCCGTGGCCACGGTTGGCTCCTGGCCCACGAGCACGGGCTGTGCGGAGCGGGGCGAGCTCGGGAGCCTTTGAACAGCAGCACAAAGGGCAGCGTCTGTTCCCGGCGCGGGCAGGTGTTGGGGGGATCGGGTTGACAGGGTGGGATGGGGCAGAGGGAGAAGCCGGGCTCGGCATCTGCTAACCTGCGCTGGTGTCTGGTTGCAGGTGCCCAGACTGGAGTGGGAAGGGGGTCGGGGGCACGAAGCGTTTCAGGACGCTTTGGGGACATCGGGATGGGGAGGGGCGGGGTCTGCCTGCCTGCCTCTGAACGGGGACAGGGGGACCCTCTCAGACTCCCCATTTCCAGGTCCCTCCTGCTGCAGCAAAGTAATCAGGAGCCTTTTTTTCTGCCAGGGGCCCCTTTTGATCTTTTCTTCTGCCCGAGCGCTAATGCCGGCAGCCGGGCGCGGGGTTAGTTACAGTCCCCTGACAGCAGCGCCGGGACTTGGAAGAGGTGCCGGGGCCGCAGCGGGTGGGAGGCTGCAACGAGGCTTTGTCCAGGCAGGGAGGGGGGGGACGGGGTAGGAGGACGTCCCGATCTATTTGTGTGGCTTTAATTTGGGGGTTTTTTTTGTTTGCCGGAGCCTTTTTAAAGAGAGAATCAGTGCAGCCAGCTGCTCTCAAGCTGCTGCGGTGAATGGGGCAGGGGCTGAAACCTGCTCTGGGTCGGGGCTGGTGGAGGGAACAGGTGGGAAGCAGGGAGGGTCCTGCCGAGGGAGGGGAGGCGAAATGGAGCCCAGCTCACCTCTGCCACCCTCCAGCTCGCTCTCCTCCCTCCTCAGCCCAGAGAGGGCGTCTGCTCTGCGCCACAGCCCCATCCCAGCAGGCCCACGGCAGCTCCTGGAGCGGAAGGAGGTGCTGGGGATGTGCCCACAGCGGTGTGGGGCGCCCAGGGGAAGCACCCAGGCTTGGCCTCCCATGTCTGTGGTGTTAATGCTTCTCCCTGAACTTGGCCTCGCAGCGTTCCTGGACTCGGTTTCCACTTTGGCTCCGCACTGGAGGAGCGATCCCGGGGGCTCCATGGGGACAGAGGGGGAGGATGGTGCAGGGCTGTGCCAGCTCCATGGCAGAGTCTGGCTTGTTGCTGGCTGTGCCAGCGCTTTGGGTGCGATTTGGGGCTGCTCCAGCCTGGTCCTCGTCCCTCACAGAGCAGAACCAGACCCACCGGCTGAGCCAGAGCCCCACGGCACGGCTGCCCTGCAGAGTAGGGGACACACAGTCTGGGGCAAGCCAAGCTGCCTCTTGAGCAGCCCCCACAACCCCCCAAGCCTTTGCCAGGCAGCGAAAGAGCCTGGCTGCCTGTGGCCAAGCTGCCTTTTAGCATCTCTGCCAGAATTGCCAACTGAAAACGTGGTTGCAGAGCGCCGGGCGATGGGCTGTCCACGGTGCGAACACCCTGCAGCGAGCTCCTCGCCCCGGGGCTGCGGGCTGGAGGCTGCACTGACGAGAAGCCTTGTGGGGAAGGGGAGGTGGGCGTTGCTATTTTCGCTGGCCACATCCTCTGACAGTTTCTAAGAACCGGCTGTGGATTCCTGGTAAGAGATTTCGGTGTGTGATCGTATCCAGCGAGCCCCGCAGCGTCCAGCCCGGCTCTGGCCACGAGGTGTGAAATGCCACCGCTCACCCCTCGGCGAGAGCTGGCACGAGGTGTAGGAGCTGGGCTGGGGCACACCCGATGCCTCCCAGGGCTCTCAGTGCGTTGTGGTGCTCTGGTGTTGAAGCGGAGGAGTTTCTTCCTCTGGTTAGAGCTCATATGGGGAGAAAACGCAGCGAGGTTTGCTTTTATTACAAGTGATACGCCACTGCTTGCAGTCTGCACCTTCCTGTCTGTGGGGCTGGTCTGTCCCCCAGCACTGGGTTCCCTGGGCCCCAGGGAGGTGCGGGTGACTCAGGCAGGGCCCCCCGGGGGAGAGCAGGAGGGTAAAAGCCTTGTGAGAAGCTACGTGGCTGCAGCATCGTTCCCGTAACAATGCAGTGTCGATCGCGTGTAGCGTTGTGGGGAGCATGAGCCTGGGTCTGGGAGAACTGGGTCTGGCTGCCTCAGAGACACCCGAAGCGACGGAGCGTGTGTCAGCCCGGGATCCACCATGGGCAGGGGTGGGAGGAAGCAGCTGAACAGGAGCCAGCAGTGTGCCCAGGTGGCCCAGAAGGCCAATGGCATCCTGGCTTGTGTCAGCACTGGCGTGGCCAGCAGGGACAGGGAAGGGATCTGAGCCCTGGGCTGGGCACTGGGGAGGCCACCCCTTGATGAGTGGGTTCAGTTTTGGGCCCCTCACCCCAAAAAGGCCATTGAGTGACTCGAGCGTGGCCAGAGAAGGGCAACGGAGCTGGGGCAGGGTCTGGAGCACAGGTCTGCTGGGGAGCGGCTGGGGGAACTGGGGGGGTTCAGTCTGGAGAAGAGGAGGCTGAGGGGAGACCTCCTGGCCCTCGGCAACTCCCTGCCAGGAGGGGGCAGAGAGGGGGGATGAGTCTCTGGAGCCAAGGCCCCAGCGCCAGGCCCCGAGGGAATGGCCTCAAGCTGCCCAGGGCAGGGTCAGGCTGGCTCTGAGGAAGGATTTCTGTGCAGAAGGGGCTGTTGGGCGTTGGAATGGGCTGCCCAGGGCAGGGGGGAGTCCCCGGGATCCCTGGAGGGGTTGAAGAGTCGGGCTGAGCCAGTGCTGAGGCTGTCTCTTATAC